GTTTTCTACTGTAGGTACCTTTTCAATGATTTTGATATATATCAACATTTTAAGTTACTAAGGGCTTTTGATTGATTAATGACTATCACTGGGTCTCTGTTCTTCAAAATCTTTTGTTTCCAGCAAAGTGAAAATTTCCTGGAAAGCGTAAGGCATTATATTATTCTGACCTGATTCCAGTGGGCATTAACATGTCTTGGAAGGTCAGAGTGCTTTTTGCTCATGAGATAACTTCCCCAGGATGATAAGAAAGTAGTATATTCTTGGCTCATTTGCAGGGAACACCTGTTGGTATGTGGCCTGAAGGGTGGGTACTCAGACTAGAAGAGGAGTGGAACCATGAAACTGCTCAGCTTATCCCAGATCTGGAATCCACAGCTTGGCAAAGAGCTTTGTGCTCAGATTAGTTAGTGATGTTACAGGCACCAGTAGTCCTGGGAGACTGACAACCTGCCATAAAGCCAGGGGCTTCTGTTCACAGAGCAGACTCAGAGGAAGTGGGATTAGGAAGATCTCATTTTAAACTTGGTGGAAAGTCAGAGTTAAATAAATCGATTCCCTTCTAGAAGCCTATTGGGAGAGAAACACATGCAAGTAACAGATATGGGCCAGAATGTTGGGGCCTGGTTTAAAACCAAAAACTTCAGATAAAGATGAATTTTGAAATCCATTTTATTTTTCTTTATCTTAAGTCTCTAGATTACCTTAATTACAGAATTGAGACATTCATTTCACTGACTATAAATGTTAGACTGCATTAGTTTCATTTGTTTTACTCAGTCTTGAACTTTGCATTTTTGGTGGTAAATCAGCGTTGGGTATAAGCTGGGTTTCAATGTTGGTTTTTGGAGCACATCTGGCAGGCAGCAAAGATCTCCTGGGAATTTTAACTCCAAAGATATTGGCTTCCATTTGAACTTAGGATAGTCTCAGTGATTGTCATTGAAGTTTTATTCACATACCAGAGCACGCTGTTAGCTTGAGCCAGGGTTGGGCTGGCCAGAGCCCCACCTCCCAGGTTAATCCAATCAACCTCCCAAGGTAGGGGTAGGTAAAGTCACTCTTTGCCTTACTGTGTTTGGTGTTGCTCTAATAGAATACCATAGATTGAGTAATTTACAAGAAAAGAGATCTATTTCTTCCAGTTCTGGAGGCTAGGAAGTCCAAGGTCAGGGGGCCTGAATCTGGCAAGGGCCTTCTTGCTTCATCATCCCGTGGCTGGTGGTAGAAGGGCAAGGGGAGCCAGAGAGCAAGAGGGGGCTAAACTTGCTTTTTTTTTTTTTTTAATTGGGAGAACCCACCCCTGATGGTTAATGTGGGTTCTTTTCTATTCCCTAAGCATCTCAGCTGGTTTGAGAAATAAAGGGAAAGAGTACAAGAGAGAGAAATTTAAAGCTGGGTGTCTGGGGGAGACATCACATGTCGGCAGGTTCCATGGTGCTCCCTGAGCCATAAAACCAGCAAGTTTTTATTAGCGATTTTCAAAAGGGGAGGGAGTGCACAAATAGGGCGTGGGTCACAGAGATCACAAACTTCACAAGGTAATAGAGTATCACAAAGCAAGTGGAGGCAGGGCGAGGTCACAGGACGGCAGGATGGGGCGAAATTAAAATTGCTAATGAAGTTTCAGGCACGCATTGTCATTGATAACATCTTATCAGGAGACAGGATTTGAGAGCAGACAACCTGTCTGACCAAAATTTATTAGGTGGAAATTTCCTTGTCCTAATAAGCCTGGGAGCCCTACGGGAGACTGGGGCTTATTTCATCCCTTTGACTTCGACTGTAAAAGGCGGCCACCTCTAGGGGGCATCTATAGACCTACCCTCAGGGCACATTCTCTTTCTCAGGGATGTTCCTTGCTGAGAAAAATAATTCAGCAATATTTCTCCTATTTGCTTTTGAAAGAAGAGAAATATGGCTCTGTCTCGTCTGGCTCACTGGAAGTCAGACTCCAAGTCTTAGCTCCCTTGTTCCCTGAAGATTGCTGTTATCCTGTTCTTTTTTCAAGGTGCCCACATTTCATATTGTTCAAACACACATGCTCTACAAACAATTTGTAGAGGGTCCTGAGGCAACATTCATCCTCCTCAGTTTACGAAGACGATGAGATTAAGAGATTAAAGACAGGCATAGGAAGTCACAAGGGTATTGATTGGGGAAGTGATAAGTGTCCATGAAATCTTCACAATTTATGTTCAGAGATTGCAGTAAAGACAGGCGTAAGAAATTATAAAAGTATTAATTTGGGGAACTAATAAATGTCCATGAAATCTTCACAATTTATGTTCTTCTGCTGCGGCTTCAGCCGGTCCCTCTCTTCGGGGTCCTTGACTTACCGCAACATTTTTTTTTTTTTGAGACGGATTTTCACTCTTGTTGCCCAGGCTGGAGTGCAGTGGTGCAACCTCAGCTCACTGCAACCTCCGCCTTCCAGGTTCAAGTGATTCTCCTGCCTCAGCCTCCCCAGTAGCTGGGATTACAGGTACCCACCACCACACATTACTAATTTTTTGTATTTTTAGTAGAGACAGAGTTTCACCATGTTGGCCAGGCTGGTCTCGAACTCCTGACCTCAGATAATCCACCCATTTCGGCCTCCCAAAGTTCTGGGATTACAGGCATGAGCCACTGCACCCGGCCCCAGACTCGCTTTTATAACAAACGCAGTTTCTCCATAACGTACCTACTCCTGCGATAACAACATTAATCCATTCATGAGGGCAGAGCCTTCATAACCTCATCACCTCTTATTAGGCCCCATTTCCCAGTACTGCTGTATTGGGGATTAAGTTTCTAACACATGAACTTTGGGGGACACATTCAAACCATAGCAGCCTTATAGAACCATAGGAAAATGCAGCTGTGTCCTTCCTTGCATCTCCCTTGCATTGTAAAATTGCAATTACTGGGCAATAGGCTTCATCCAGAGAAGTCTTTTGTGTCTGCTGTGGGCCGTGGGAGCAACCACAAGGACCTGTCCTTGCTTCCAGGGCCACACAGTCTATGATGCCAGGAGAGAAGAGCACAGATGGTTTTGGGGGCTGGAGTGGAGCATGAAGCCTTTATGTGTTGGAGAACAGGACAGCTTTGGTGGGGAGAGAGGAAAGTCTAGATTAAAGGAATAAATGGTTTTTCAAGTGATGTGCAAGAGAAACTCATAAGATTTCTATGGATGTTTTCAGAGAGTGGGGGGAAACCTGGAACTACAGCTCATGATCAATTGTAGGACCATGTAAAGCGGTTCAAAACATCTAATAAGCAGTGTAGCAGATGTCAATCTTGGTCTAGACTCATCATGGTCCAGGAATACAACTTCTTAATTTTTCCAGGATCAACTTAATGCTGAGAAACTCCAAGCTCTTGGGTCTAATATTCAGGTCAGAGGCTCTGGTGCCCATTTTGAGGATCTCTTCCCACTTGCCCTCTGCCAGTGAATAGGGGGGTGCTGGGGAGTCCATGTCTAGGTTCTTACCTGCCTGTAAGGGTAAGAGGAGTATCTTTGTTTTTTTTTTACTGAGACAAGGCCTTACTGTGTCACCCAGGCTGGAGTACAGTGGGATAATCATAGCTTACTGAAGCCTCAACTTCCCAGGCTCAAACAATCCTTCCACTTCAGCTCACCAAGTAGTGGGACTGTAGGCATGTGCCACCACTAGCTAATTAAAAACAAACAAAAATATCTGTACAGACTGGGTCTCACTAGGTTGCCCAGGATGAGAGAGGGGTATCTTGCTGCTCCTAGAACACATGGCCAGATGCCTCCAGCCTCATTTCCAGGCTCTAAGGATTTTGTTTTAGTTTAAGGATCTGAGGAATTCTCTCTTTATATTCGTTGCTTTCCTTAGAGTTCCTCCCTTTGTCCTCAAACAGTATTCTCATTTCAGGATACCCAGTATTACTGCCTCAAAAGACTTGGACATTTGAGCAAGGAAGGGAAGTGTTTTGTGACACACACACACACACACACACACACACACACACACACACCCACACCCATCCTTGAGTCAAGGAGAAACTGAGCCTTCCTGTTTACATTTTGAAGGTATAGGATGGGAGGAATGAATGGGGAGAAAATATAAATTTATATCTCAAAAATTATTCTGCCATTAAAATGTAACACATTTTCGTTTTCACAACTAACTCTTAAGGTCCCTAGAGCCGAGATGAGATGTGGAGCCCCTTAGTTTCCCTGGGTAAGAGCTTGGGGTGAGGAATTAGTAAACTGATTCAGAGTTTCCCCACAAATAAGAGTAAATATATCTTCCCCAGCATCTTTAATTCTCCAGCTCTTTGATAACCAAATAAATGTCATGCATTCATGTTGACATTAAAAGTGTTATAAACTTCATTTGGAAGGTTCCTATTAATAAACAATATTTGCTTCCACTAGGAGCAAAATTAAATATTTAGTTAAACCAATTTTTGGGTCTCAGGACCCTTTACACTCTTATAGAGTCCTGAGGACCCCCTGAGAGCTTCTGTTTATGTGGGTTACTTATATCTATTGATGTTTACCATATTAGAAATTAAAACCAAGAAATTCAAAAAGTAATTAATACAAGGATAAAAAAACTCATTACATGTTAACGTACATATTATAATATATTTTATGGAAAATAACAGTACTTTCCAGAATAAAAAAATTAGAGGAGTGGCTGTTTTCCATTTTGCAAATCTCTTTAATATTTGACTTAAGAGGAAATAGGTGTATTCCATTATCTGCTTCTGTGTTCAATCTCTTGTGATTGGTTGCTGAAGAAAATCTGGCTTCACATAGACATGCTGTTGGAAAAATGAGGTCTTCTTGGACCCTGAAAGGGTCTCAGGGACCCACAGGGATCACTTTGAGAACTGCACATTTAAACAGATAAACTACCAAGGTACGTGATGGGTTTTAAATGAAAAATTGTCTTTATTGAGAATTTGAGTCAACCAGGGGTGAAATCACAGGTGTGTTTTACATCATGTATCTTGAACGTTGCCCTCTCTTCTTACAGAAATACAAAGAGTATGAGAAAGACGTTGCCATAGAAGAAATCGATGGTCTCCAACTGGTAAAGAAGCTGGCAAAGAACATGGAAGAGATGTTTCACAAGAAGTCTGAGGCAGTCAGGGTAAGTGCCTCTGGTTTGTGCCCTGTATCGCCTGAAGACACAAAGGCAGCTTCAGGGGATGGCATTGATGAACCAACCTCTCAAAGATAAAAGTTGACTCACTCATCTGTTACGTAAATACTTTTATTTTTACAGTCTGGTTAGCCAGAAAAAGCAGTCACTAGGGGCAAAAACTGCCCTTTTCATAGAGAGTTCCTGTGCCAGTTTTATTCTGACAAATTTATGCCTTTAGCTGAGTTGCCACTAATTGTACAGCCGTACAGCATGGGCCTATAACTGTATGATGCATGCACTAATGACCAAAAACCATTCAGAGGTACACTAGGGTTCAACTAAGCCGTAGTCTGAGCATTTTCTTGTGTCACTGTGTTTAGTGATTTTCTCAAATGGTTGCATAACATTTCAATCTATGAGTGTGTCATAATTGGTATAACTGTTCCTATATATTTGGATGTCTGAGTTATATGAAAGTTTTTATTGGCCAGGCGCGGTGGCTCACGTGTGTAATCCCAGCACTTTGGGAGGCCGAGGCAGGCAGATCATCTGAGGTCACGAGTTCATGACCAGCCTGGCCAACATGGTGAAACCCTGTCTCTACTAAAAATATAAAAATTAGCCAGGTGTGTTGGTGGGTGCCTGTAATCCCAGCTACTTGGGAGGCTGAGGCAGAAGAATTGCTTGAACCCAGGAGGCAGAGGTTGCAGTGAGCCAAGATCACGCCACTGCACTCCAGTCTGGGTGACAGCGTGAGACTCTGGTAAAAAAAAAAAAAAAAAAAAAAAAGACAGTTTTTATTTAAAAGATGTGGTCTTGCTGTGTTGCCCAGGCTGGTCTCAAACTCCTGGACTCTAGTGATCCTCCCACCTCAGTCTCCTGAGTAGCTGGGGCTACAGATATGTACCACCAGCTCTGGCTTGCTTGCACGTTTTGACGTAAATAATGCTGCAGTGAATCTTCTTGTATATTCACAATGGACCAACCAACCGAGCACCTACTACGTGTGAACTGTTCCTTTAAGGACTATATATGTACTCACTTATATTATCCTTGTAACACCTCCATGATGGGCATTACTGTTATCCTCATTTTACAAAAGAGGAGTCTGAGAGGAAGACGTTGAGTAGCTTCTCCGAGGTCACGTGAGGAGTGAGAGAGAGCTCCAGCCATAATAACCCGAGAGTTCACATTCTTTTCTGCCTCCTTGCCTTCAGTATCCTGGAGTGTATGTGTATTTCCTTAATGTGAATTCCAGAACACAGAAGACAGTTCAGAGGCTCAGAAGCAATCTTCAAGGTTCTTTATGCATATGAAAGCATTTCTGTCCAGATAAGGTTGTGCCAATTCACAACTGCTCCAGCGGGAGTGGTGTGCAAGTGCTTATTTTCTGAAATCCTTGCAAAAAAAAAAAAAAAAAAAAATACTGGTAACAGCATTGTCAATTTGAGAGGGGGGCATATTGTTTTAGCTTGCATTTCTTTGTGAATCACAGAATTTTAGAGGAGAAAAAGGCATAAATATCTTTAGGTTCTGCTTCCACAATTGACAAAGTAGCCCTGGTGTCTGGAATTAGGGGAGCATTGGGAGGGGCGGGAGGAGGGGACCATGCAGCATGCTGCCATGACACAGAGGTCCGGCCAGCACCAGAACCTAGACCTCACCTCCTTGAGGCAGTGGGCCCACGTGGTCAGTGAGACATGGGCTCTGAAAGTAGTGGAACTGTCCCGAATCTCAGTTCTGCCCCAAGGTGGGAGACCAGTGAGCAAAGCTGAGTAACCCCTGTGAATCTCTTTTTCCTCATTTATCAGCCTGGCGGCATTAGGAGAAGTCAATGATGTAATAAATACATGCTTACGTTTATTGAGTTCAGATGCACCAGCCCCTGTGCTAATCACTTTATGTGTATCATCTCATTCTTGCATCAACACTAGGAGTGAGACACTGTTGTTATCGTTGTCTTAGAAATGACCAAACAGGCTTGACAGGATGAAGTCATTTGCCCAGGTCACATGGGCAAGGCTCAGCAGAGTTAATTTTTACACCTAGGTGGTGGGGTTGCAGCACCTCTGTATTTATGTAAGGTGTTTATTTAGCTCAGTGTCTGGCAAACAGTAAATGTTCTGTAAATGTTTGCTGTTACAGCTGGTTAAAAGGCCTTCCAACCTGTGAACATCTGATAGGAGGTAGTCTTGGAGCTTCAGGAAGCACCTGGATGATGACAGAGGGGAACATGAACTGGGTTTAGCGTCTTCGTATTGCCTAATTTTAAAACCTTTTTGTGTTAAATTAGTGAAGTTAAAAAAAAAAAAAAAGATGATTTGATATGGTGGGTGTAGTTCCTTTGAGAAGAAAAAATAAGTTGCTCTGTTTAAATTGAAATGTTCCCAGAATAAAGGCAGCCAGATTCCTTGCAATGCGTATTCTATGTATTTTAAAATAAATGCACAGGCCTTCTGTAATCACGCTTGATGCTCAAGCCTGTAACATCTTGGTTAATTGGTCCAGTGTTACGTGGATTTCCCCATGCCCGTCTTTAAAGAGAGTTTGTACGTCACATAGGGGTTTAGTCTGGGGACAGTAGAGATGGGCCTGGTCCTCACTGTGAGCCATGTGGCTCTCTTGTTAACAGTCAAGACCCATATGCCATTTGGAATGAGATATCCCTTTGGAGGCCAGGGGAGCAGTGAGTGTGACTTTTTTCATATTTTAATGATACCTTGATTCTCCATTAGGAAAAGTTGCTGTTTGCCTGTGAGATTTGTGAACATTTGAAGAGCAAAGACCTCAGGTCCAAATTTGCCCATGGGTTTGCAGGGGAGTCATTATTTGTAGCCTTGCACTGGAATGCACCACTGTGAAACAAGGTGAGGTCCTTTCCCATGCCACCCACCTGACAGTGACTCCACCCCCCTCTTTTCTTTTTTCTTTTTCTTTTCGATTTCTTTTTTTTTGAGACAGAGTCTTGCTCTGTCGCCCAGGCTGGAGTGCAGTGGTGCGATCTCAGCTTACTGCAAGCTCTGCCTCCCGGATTCATGCCATTCTCCTGCCTCAGCCTCCCAAGTCACTGGGACTACAGGCACCACCACCACGCCTGGCTAATTTTTTGTATTTTTGGTTTCACTGTGTTAACCAGGATGGTCTCTATCTCCTGACCTTGTGATCCGCCCGCCTCAGCCTCCCAAAGTGCTGGGATTACAGGCGTGAACCACCGTGCTGGGCCCCCACCCCCCTCTTTTCTAATCGCTCAGGAACAGAACAGATTTTAGGTTTGGCCCTATCACTCTGATGCTCCACACCTAGGAATCTTCCATTTCCAAGCCCCCCTCCCACTTCCCAAGCAGTTGGAGTTGGGTCCCAGGTTCAGGTGCCCCACCTTGTATTTCCTAGTGTGAATCAGTGGTGACTTGAGGGACGTGTGTAAGAGAAACCTGGTTCACAAACAACCCTGATTTATTAACATTTCCATTGATGTATATAAAATATTTATGAGTCTGGCAGTAGCAATTTAGGAAACTGCAATAAGAACACCTGTAGTCTGTGAAAGTAGGTTCAGTTAGTACTGGGGGGGAAGAAATGGAGTACTACAATAACCCCATCCTTTAATGTAGCCTGTCATCTCCTGCCTGTTAAACAATGTTGATCTCTTTCTCTGTCTCTTCTGGCTTGATTTCATCATTTTCCTCCATCACTTTTCCCAGTGATTAGTTGAATCAGAGTGATTTTATCATCCTCATCTCCTATTTGAATTACTCTCCACTATGCAATTATCCTATCACAGAAAGTCCTATTTTCTCCCCGTCAGATGTCTGAAGTAAATGTGAAACCTAAAGTGGCCTGCCCATTACATAACCCCTGTCATCTCATTGGTAATGGACTATATGTAACTTTTTTTTTCAGGCTAGCAAATTATAAATAACCTTAGCTTCAGTAATTTCCATTAACATAATGGTGCTATCATTATGGTAGCATTTCTTAACTAATATTTTCTAGCTCTTTTTAATGCCATTGGTGGTTTAAGTAATTTTTTCACACCCACGCGGGTTATTTGATACGGCCATGCTCCTGCTTGCTTTTGTGTATAGCAGTTGTGTCCTAGGCACCATCTCTCACCTTCATTGTTCAGACATATTTATGCTACCAAGCCCTCAATTAATATTGCTAAGCAATTTGTCAAGTTTTAAGTCCCTATGAATGGACAAGAAATGGAGTCCATTTGCTTTTAGTTCATCAGCATTTCAAGGGAGAGATCTCACATGTTGGACGTGGAGGGAAGGGTATGGACCGGTCCTCTGCCAACTGTGGATTCCCATCAGCCCATTCCTAAGTGACACCTGGAAATGCTTGTCTGTGTCACAAGTCAGAACTCATCTTTGATATTGATGGAAGGCAAAGGGGAGACACCACTCCCCTTTCTCCTGAGTTGCTGTTGTTGAGAAATGGACCCTGATTTGAGGGGAGGGAGAAGGCAGAAGGGTTATATTGCATGACCTTGGTTATATGGACAGGCTGCCCCCAGCCTTTCCTTTGTCTTTAAAATCTGGCCCTTCATGGGGTGTATCACAAACTATCGATCAACTGGAAGCATCATTTGGGGCTCCAGGGAACTCTGAGCAGGCACAGCCAAATGGGAAGAGAATCTGTAGGAAGTAACTGCGTAGCCACGGATATCTCTGATTGTAAGGATATACTTTGAGGACCAATTCCATCACAGCCAGGGGGATGTCATGATCCTGTAATTTTGGTGCGGTTTGTATCACTGAGATGAGCAGCACAAGAGAAAAGCAAGTAAACCAGGAAATAAGAAAAAGGACTTTGGTGAATTTATAATTTTATACTAGTATTCTCCAGGATGGTTTTCTAAAGGTGAATTCCTCCGAGTGGATTTTGCCTTTGGTTGCACCGAACAGCTCTGGGGTGGGCACTGCCTTCATCACACTGATTTGAGCTGGACTTAGGAAGTCCTCCTGTTTTCCCAGGTGTTCCTGGTTTCAGGGCCAGACGCT